CGCCTGGCCGTGCGCGTCCAGGCCGAGCTCAAGGGCCATGGGCTGCAGCGGGGCCGCCGGCTGGGCCAGGGCGAGCTGCTGCTGGGCGCCCTGCTGCTCTGAGTGCGGGGCTCCCTGCTCAGCCCGGGGCCCGCGGGACGCGGGACACTCACAGCCGCTCCGTACAAAATAAAAAGACATTTATTTTTCTATGTAGGATCTGGCCTCAGTGTTGTCTTCCTTCCTTAGCCTCCACTTGGATCATCTTATTTTGCATTGTGTTTGAGAAAAAAAAATGGAAAAAGTAATGACACCCCTCCTTATTCCTAGTACCCCGCATCCCTTTTTCCAGATTATTATTATATTCAAAGGAAATCGGGTTGGTTTGGGAGCAGGAGAGAAAGATTTCTTTATCAGCTGAGATCTTTCTTCCTCCTGGCTTTATGTGATCGCCAAATGGGCTGTGGCTTCAGAAAATACTCATCAGAATCACCCTCAGTGCTAAGATTCTTACGCACACCTTTGCACAGTGACATGATACCATTGACAACTACCTCGGGTGCTGTCAACGGAGGGTGACACTCCTCCCTTCTGTTAGAGCCTCTTGGTGGGAAGTGAAATCCTTTCTCACTGAGAAGCCAGATTCTTCTGGAAGTAAATTCTTCAATGGTTGCTAAGGAAGAGACAAGTAACAGAGGTGGAGAATCTTCCAGAATGGCCCTGTGAGGGAATAGATACCTCTGGTGTCTCTTTCTTTTCCAGAAAGATCCCTGAGAAAGCTTTCCTGCCTCTGTGAGCGTTTTCCTGGCAGTATTCTTCACATAACTGTGAGTCAAGTTACACAGTAATTATCCTTTAATAGGATTTGCCGGATAAAACCAGATATAAATTGTTAGTTTCTTGAGGGTGAAGTTCAAAGTTTCTTGTTTTCTTTTGTTGATTTCAACAAATGCACTGGAGTCTGCTGAAAGTTGATTATACCCCAGGGTTTCTCAGTTACAGACATCTGCTGAGGGGTGGGATGTGAATGTTTAGTAGTCTTTTTTTTTTTTTTTTGGTCACTAGCTTCTTATCTAAAGGGGGGGGGAATCAAGTCATCTCCCTGAGCCTCATTTTCTTCATATAGTACCTGCTTTGTTTCAGGCAAAATTGTGAGCTCTGGAGGGCTCAAGTGCTTCCTGGAGAGGTGGAAATGAGGGGCCAGAGAAGGACATTCTTTCAGTTCCATAACTTTTTGGGCTCAGCATGAAGTTCCTCTTTCCTTAAGTCCCTACCTGGGGTGGAAGTGGGAGTGAACCCTTTAGCAGTCATGGAGAGATCAGAAATCAGAAGTGAGATCAGAAATCATAGGGTAGACACTTAAAAAATGAGTTTCCATTAGTTAGGCAGGGAGAGGTTTTGTTGTGACATTTCCATGTATGTTTACAAAACGTACTCTGATCAATCTCACCACCTGTCACAGTACATGATATTACATCTCCATTTCAAAATAAGGAACCAGAGGCCCAGAGAAAGAAAGCAAATCCTTGGGGAGGGGTGGGGGGCACATAACTCCTAAGTGGAGAAGAGATAGCTGGGTTCCAAAACCAATGTAATTGTCTTCTTTCCTGTGCACCTGCTTGCAGGCCCAGCTCTGTGAGAACCTGGCTGGTTTCTGTGAGAGCTAGTGTGAGGATTAAATTATGCAGAGTGCTGGCCCATCCAGGCCTCAACACCTACACCAGGCACCTGGTGGAGTTGTTCCCATGACATCAGTGCCTAGCTGAATGAAGGGACAGCTGGAGAGAGCTGGTGAGCACTGAGACCTCATTCTTCACTGCAAGTCTAGAAGCTGGTTCTCCTGCCTGATCTAGCCTGAGGAAGACTCTACTTTTGGCCCCTGATTCTGTCACATTGGCCCCTGTTCTCAGGCTTAGATAACCCTGGGTCTACTTTGTCCAACCCTAACCTGCCTTGGTGATGCCCAAGTGAATTTGTATATCAAGATTAAGGCCATTGCTTGTGCAGAGACTGCACAACTCACAAGAGTGATTATTCCTGCCTCTTGAAGAACAGTGCAAAGAGGGGTGCTGCATGCACCCTAAGTCATTAGCATATCAGCACTTCATCCTTTGGGTGCTGAGGGGCAAAGTCTCATTGACAAGGGACAATGACAAAGAGTTAAGGCACCATACACATCTTTATGGTGTCCTGGTCCTGTCTCTCCTCAAAGCCAGGGAAGAAAGAGCCATGATCAGGAACATACAGTAGAACCAGACATTTTTGTCTCCAAGAAGAAAGACAGAAAACTCAAGTGCCAGGGCATCTTGACTCACAAAATGGAATCCATCTTAGCTTCAGAAGTTCTGGCTAATACTTTATTTCACTCCTCTCTGAAGGGAGGAAGCCAGAACTGAGATCTGGTCGAATCTACTGGGCCTGCAGGCTTTCTGGGATGGGCACCTTTGGAAGGTGGGCTGTAGACTCAAGATGAGCAGGGCAAGGATATCACTGGTGGATGCAGCTCAATCAAGAGATTCCTTCATGACAGCAAACCCAAGAGGCCAAAAGAGCAAAGGAGGGGGCAGTGCAGGACTTCTCAGTGTGTCCATGAAACTGTCTCTGTTGCTATGCAATGCTACAACTGTGGTATTGAGATAGAGCTAGAAAGGGGAAGGATAAGGAAGTGTGATTATTAATGCACTTGAGTGCAAGGCAAGATCCTAAATGCTCTCCATGCAGTACGACTGCTTTGTGCCCATGACAGCTTGTATTATTCATGCTTTGCAGATCAATAAAGCTGACTTCCGAGGTCAAGCTATAAATACTTTCCTTTTTGGAGAAGATTCTAGAAAAGATGGCTGAGGTCCTAGCAGGACAGGTGGAAGGTAGAGGTATAGAAAGGGGAACATATTCAAACAAACTTTGCCCATATCAAGTTCTTTTCCAGATAGCGGTTTAAATTCTAAATCTTTCCTCCATCAAGACTGAGAGAGAGCTAGGCACTAATAGGCCATACTTGTTATCCTAGCTACTCAAGAGACTGAGATCTGAGGGTCACAGTTCAAAGCCAGGCAGGGCAGGAAAGGCGGTGAGTGGCTCAAAGCAGTAGAGCACTAGCCTTGAACAACAGAGCTCAGGGAAAGCACCTAACACCTAGTTGAAGCCCCATGACAGACAAAAAGAAAAAAAAACACACCATACACGCTTAGAAAGTGGACCAATTAAAAACAATCTGCGATATGACTCACCAGACAGAAGCAGAGGTTCCCTTAGAAGCTTTGAATGGAACATCTGATGTGGTTTGTTTCGGAGTATGATCATGTGACAGGAAACCCCAAACAGTGTAATCAGTTCTATTCTTTGTGTTTCCATTCACGGTACTGCAGTCCTGGGCACAATGTCATTTTTGTTCCCATGAACAGAAATCCAGGAAGAGAAATGACTGGGTAAGAACAGGAGGTCAGGGAGATGAGGTAGGTAGGTCACCTGACAGCCCACAGCTGGACTGTTTGGGTGCACTGTCCTACCCAGGGCTGCTGCCCCCACCCCCTATCCTTCGCTAAAGAGGACACATGACCTGTCTAAAGACTTTTAGGGGGCATAAGAAGCATTGATTCTCTGTGTAGCCATCAAGGAACTAGAAATGGACCTTTGCCAAATGAATTCTCCTTATAAGCCTCCTGCCATTATGCTTTCTGACAGCTTTCTATTAGACACTCACTCAGTCATCTGTGTTTGCATACACTCGATCTGTTTCATCCTCCTCTTTCCCCAAGCCCCTTCCCGCTAATTCTTCATCTTACCCAGACATAATCTGAAATACAAAGGGGAAAGTTGCTCTTTAAGCAACTCTCCATACTCAGGAGGTGGAGGTAAGCAAACGAAGCCTGGTGGTGTGCATGCCTGTAATCCCCACCTCCTTGGGAAGAACAAGCAGGAAGATCAAAGTCTGAAGCCAGCCCAGTTAGAAGTGTGAGACCTTATATGCAAAACTAAAAGTAAAAAGGACTGAGATGTGTATTTGAGTGGTGCAGCACTTTGACTAGCAAGTTTGAGTCCTTGAGTTCCATCCCCATTACTGACTAAATAAATAAACAAATAAATGGAAAATGCCAGGAAACTAAGACTAGTAATTCTTACCTATAATTTTTCTTTCTTTTAATGGATTTCCCTTCTATTATAAGACTGCACAATAATATCAGACTGCCTTTGTTCCAGCTACGTTTATCTACTTAAATTCTTTGTGACCTTGGGTAATTTACTTACGTCCTTTTTATTTTTTGTCTGTTGTAGGGTGTGAACTGAGAAAAGAAAAAGGAGCTCAGGCTGGCTTTGAACTGTGATCTTCAGATCTCAGCCTCCTGAGTAGC